CGCAATAAACTTTTAACTGTAAACTCCGTGACAAAGACTAGAGGCCACCACCTAAAACTGGTAGAGAAAAGATGTATCCACAAAAGGCGTAGGGGATTCTTTTCAGTCAGAGTGGTTACATTTTGGAACTCTATGCCACAGGCAATGGTATCAGCAGAGAATATTAATTCTTTCAACAATCAATTCGATACCGTCCTAAGAGACTGTAACATATAGCGGTACAGGTACTCTTAAAAACCAAGACAGGGACTCCTATACACACACATATGCATGCACCATTTCGGTGCTAAACAAGCATGTAGAAACGTGGTCCCCTGCTGGGGAAGCACAACAAATCAACATTTGCTTCAATTGACACTCTACAGCTGACACTTTTATGTAGATTAACTTGAAGTACCCATATTCAATGGAAGAACTAATTTGACTTTCGGAATGTTTTATGACTGTACCATGACAAGTACGGAATGCCAACCTTGCCCCGCTTTGTAAGCATACCGCAGTGAGACATGGCACATCTGAATCACACCATTATTATTTTTTTCGTCTGAGGGTACAAACAAATGTATTCACATTTGTATGTCTCCTGGGATATATATTTAGTAGGGTTGCACAGATACCAAGTACAGTACTCGGTACAAGTACGAGTACATGTACCGATACTTTTGAGCTCCAAGACTAGACTAGAGAAAAATTACAAAATTAGGAGGCAGCTGTCATTTGTAAGGAGCACACGGAGCTCCTGGGATTTGTACATCTCTGTTTTAATGTACGGTTTTGTTTTTATAAATATAAATAAAGGAATGCACAGATACTAGTTTTGCGAGTACGAGTACTGGTACTTGCCGAGTACTTACAAGTACTGATACATTTTTTGTTTATTGTCATGTGACAATTTTTCTAAAACAATACAGACTAATGATTTCAGGACAGTGGTGGAGTGCCAGAGCTGGGTCCCAGCTGCAAACGCTGCAACCCTGGTAGTTCTCATGAAAATGCCAAGTATCTGCACTGGTACTCGAAAAGTATCTTTGCATCCCTAATATTTAGCATCAAGTGAAAACTAAGCACTATCAGTATAGCTGGCCCAGTGTGGTGTACCTACGGTAAATTTGATTGAGTTTTGTGGGTAATTTTATGTTTTATTTTCTTCTTTAAGGTATGTATACATTAGATGAATGTAGGCATTCTCTTGGATCATTATTTTCCACAAATATGAAATGCAGTGTTTATAATAGTGTCTTAAAATAAACCAGCCGAGACACCCTATCTTTAGAGTGCATTACACCCAATAGATTATGTACATGCCTTCATTTTTTTTCTTTTTTAGTGTTTGTGAGTAACCCCTTAGGGATCAATTATGATTATTAAATCTTCATTTGCTTTTCAAGTGAAACCCAGATCAGTGCGACTTGTGGGAGCAAACTGCCTGGAGAAAAAGCCTGAAGTTTGAGCTTGTTGTATAGTACTGAGTTATTCTAGGTAAACACAGTGGAATATGAACATGCAATGCTCTCAGGTGTTGGTAAAGTTGTGTACTTAATGGCATAATCCATCTTTTGCCAAAATGTAAAAAAAAATGCACCCACATTAAAAAAATTTACATGTATTACATTTTTGCATTAGAGCGTGCAGAAAATTGCAACCACTTTTAGTTGTCTCAGAACAGGAATAGAGGGAACATTTTCGTTAGGATAAACTGTCTGAGATGTCCTATTTAAACCAGGAGATTTCTGGTCTATTCCTGTTGAGGGAAAGGAAGTAATGAAAAGCTCCTTAACGGGACTTAATGTATAATATCCCAATACGTCAGACTGTGATACTTGTATACAGTCCGATCTGTGAAAGACAATCGGATGGCCTGTGAATGGCTGAGGGAGAATTCTATTTCTTGCATTCATAGAGTGGCTGTGTTGTCTGAATCTGCTCCTGTTTTATATGACCTGTGTGGGGTAATGAATTGGAAGCGCTTTCAGAATCCAGCTGCCCAGGCAACTGTTAAGCTGAAATGTAAAGTTGCCGATCGATATTTACAATGGCCTTAGCAGCGTAGTTATTTACGCCAAGCTCCTTTTCCAGTGCTCGATCAACAAGCTGAAAATAGCTTGTTTAGGGACAGCTTTACTCAAAAGCCAATTAGCCAGATGTTAACGTGAGACGTTGACTTTGTTGTTTTAATCCTAAGAGCAAAATACAGCTCGCTCCTAAATCTCCAGTGGCATGTTAGTTATCCTTTTAAGTAGCAGATTTCTACTAAGTTTTAGCAGGATTTTTAGAAATCTGCTGTTCTGTGTGTTGCAATGTAATTGCTTGGAATCGTAAACATAAAGAAGAACTCCCGCGCAAACACCAATTATGTGGTCATTCTGCACAGTGAAAAGCTATTTATGTCTGCCTTCTGTCTTTTGGATGGAATATTTTGAATAAAATATGCGTTTGGGGGCTCTGGCTGGGATGACTTCAGATGGCGTTCTGCTTCTGTGAATTCTAGACTACAAATTGGGTTATTCACGCCTTCATTCTTGATCTACCATTGAGCCAGGCAAGCACTTCCATGTCACACAGGAGTGGAGGCTTCTGCACCCTACAAAACTGCTGAAGGGACCTACATGGAGTATTGGAGCTGCTGCAACCAAGTAATTTTCCCCACCATGGAAGGTGAGAGGCACACATCAAGCCTGCCCACTGTGCTCAGTCCCAGCTGCGCCTGCTTTACTTCAGTCTTGCCATGTAGCACTCTATAAATTAATGTTGAGGTCGGGGACTAGTATGATGGAGCCTACAGATGCTCTGGTTGCCAGTCATAGTGACATTATTTGTCTACCCATCGTTCTAACCCATGCCACCATTCTTGTATTTGATCATTTTGGGTGCATTTTTAACTTGCTACTTTTGATATGTATTTAAGTACCTCGCCATTATAGCATTCTTTTTCCAAATTTTAGGATTGATCAAAATTATATCAACAAGGAACTTTGCAGAAAAGACTATGTTCTGCAGTAAAAGTTCCTCTTCTACTAAATGTACGTGGTTCAATGTACATTTTCGGCATGTTTTGGTGTTGGGTTGAATTTATTCCCCTCTGCATGTGCATGCATTGATGTCATTCCAGGCTGGCCAATCAAAATTCCAAACCGGGAGGAGTGAGGGAGCAGGTGAGGGAGCTAGCAGATGTTGCATTTCTAGAGTGGAGGAGAGGATAGCTGACTTTAGCACTGTTTAAAATAATGCTGGCTATAATAAAGGAAACCTGCACTGAATATACACTGAGTGGCCAGATGATTACGACCACCCCATGAGTACTTCGTTGGGCCACCTTTTGCCTTCAATACTGCGGCGATTCTTCTTGGCATTGACTCCACGAGATGTTGAAAGGTGATGCGAGGAATCTGACACCATGCCTGATGAATAGCACTGTCCAGTTCTGTGAGATTTGATGGTTGTGGAACCAGCTGCCTGATGGCTCATTCAACTTCGTCCCACAAATGCTCAATTGGATTGAGATCTGGTAATTGTGGGGGCCACCTAAGGAAGGTAAAGTCTCCCTCATGTTCTTGAAACCACTCCTGCACAATACGACCACCGTGGCATGGCGCATTGTCTTGTTGGAAGAAGCCATCTCCATTGGGATACGCCATCAACATGATAGGATGAACTTGATCAGCAACGATACTTTGGCATGTTGTGCTATTCAGATGTTGTTCCACACAAATTAAAGGGCACAAATCATGCCAGGAAAACATGCCCCAAACCATAACACTGCCCCCACCAGCTTGAAGGGTTCTACTCATGCATGTGGGGTGCATGCTTTCATGCTGTTCCCGCAAAATTCTCATGCTGCATGATGCAACTGGAAACTTGATTCATTGGACCACATGACTTTTTTTCCGTTCCTGTGCGAATTGGAGAATGTTATCTTGTTAACTGCAGACAGCAAAGGTGTTCGAACAGGCCTTCGGTATCTCTATGCATTTTTCATCATTTAATAAAAAGGCTAAAAGCCCAGCTGTCTCTGGCTTCAGTATTTCGTGTTGCAGACTCAGGACTAGCATGCAACAAGGGACTGTTGTGTCAAGTCAGAACTGATCTGTATTTCTATTCCAGGTCAGTAACGCAAAGTATTGAAGGCCATGAATCAGTAAGGCTTCCACGCAGTTGGATGTTTCCAAGGGTCAGCAATGGTGGCCTCCCATATTTCTCTCTCTGTACAATTTTTTCTTTAATGGCAAACTGTCAGGATAGTTGTAACTTGACATAACCCAGGCTCCCTTCAAGTTCTAAGCCTGCCGTTGCTCAGCTCCCAGAAGAAACTCAAGAAATAGCACCACACTTGGGAGCTAGGTTGTGGCAGCCTTCAATGTTAGTTGGGAGCCTTGCTTGTGACAGGAGTATTCCTGCCAGGCTTACAATCAGTCTATATCTGTATTATAGGCCTTATGTGAAAAGGGGTCTGTGTTATCCAGATTCTAGGTATGTAGAGGTATAATTTATCTGTATCAAACTTCTTGGCGTGATGGCGGCTATTATGCTTAGTGTGTGGTCTTGTTCATCTGGAAGTGTACCTGTAATATCGACTACTAAATTATAGACTGGTTTCTTTTCTGCTTTTTTGTCCTGTTGAAAGTTCGGACAACACTAAACTTTTAATCAATCATGAGCATATTACAGGATGATAGATGCACATGGAGTATGAGAATTAGATTTTTTTTCTATTTTTTTTTTTTTTTAAAAGACTGTTCTACCCTTGGGTATGTCTAATATCTGAGAATATTGTGCATGGTGGTCATGAATCTGACAGGAGCCCTAAGGCTTCTGGAGATTAACTTTCCTGTCGGGCCTTGTATGGTACAGTGCAGACTGCTATGTATCTGTTTTGTGTGGTTTTACTGTTTCAGTAGAAAATCTCTGATCAGACACTTGACTCCAGCCAGTAATCTTAGTCACCTCAAAGTTGCCATCATGTCTAGAAGTGTCAATAGACTAATGTATCCATGTCTTTTCAGAGCTCAGCAAGACGTGGGGAAGAAACTGGCCCAAGTGATGTAAGGAAGCATTTATTCACCTTCCTGGCAGCTGAGTCCTGAAATATTGTCAAACTAAGCCTGCGGACTAGCAAACTTCTTACTTTTGGATTCCTAACAAATTTTAACAACAAACATGTCTCGGAAACACAGTAATAAGGGTAAGTCTATAAATACTGGGCACTTTCTTTAAAAAATCAGTCTTCGATTCGTAGCGTGTGAAGCCCCACAGAGTTCATTGGAGAGAGAGCTCCATGACTGGCAGTCAAAGGATCAAACTATTTTCCTAGTCCAATTTTTTTATTTTTTTTTAGGATAGTGGAAAACGTTAGAACCCCTGTTGGGTGTTTACGGTCATCTGTGTCCCCACTAGGGAGATCTAACTTCTTCTCCCCCCCTTTTTTTTTTTTTTTTGAGTCATGTCATGGTGACCGTTGGGAGTGAATCCGAAATGCAAAATGTTATGTCACTGCAGCATAAGATGTGGGAAATTTTATTCCAATGCAGACACCTGTTCTGATGATAACTGTGTCAGAGGGGATTTCCTCTTTAGACAAAATTCAGATTCCTTTCTGTTGTGCCTCTGTAACAGGAAATGAAAGGAAAGCCCCCCTCGTTAAACATAGGAAGCAAAAAAGGAAACTGACAGAGGCTTTATCTATTCCCTTAATAGTGTTGGCTAGAGGATTTTGTTTTTTCCTGTGGGAAGGGGAGGAGGTGTTTTTGGCTTTTGGCACACAGGATTTAGATTTAGTCCTTTGCTCCATCCTTTACAGATCTTGATAATATTATTTGACAGCATGTTGTAATAAGCAGTAAATGATAGCTGTAATCTCAGGTTGGCTTGTTACTCCTTTCCTCTTACCTAGACATTTGTTGTATTCATTGACCACAAACAAGGTTTATGCTGTTTGAAGACTTGGCTAGCATCCACTGACCTTTTTATCTGGGCAGGATAAGTATAAGGGCATTTAAACCAACACCGGTTATTCATTTTAGATAATGTTTAGATTATAGCGATTATCTCATGCAGTGTAACTGCATCTTTGGGGCAAGAAAAAAGTATTTAGGATCCCAAATGAGTTCTGAATAAAACACCAAGTTTCTCCTGTATTGTCTTGTATTGCTTTGCATATCATTGATGTTTAAAAAAATATATTTTAGAGGATGCCCTTGACTTTTAAAGTAGAAGGAAAATCTAAAATAACCCACAATTAAATGTGGTCTTTCCACTGCTCCTATACATGCTTCATACTTTGTTTGACATCTTCTGTGCAGTTGCGTGACCCCAAATCTCCAGCTCATCTGTATAAACGGGGCTGAATTACACAGACATGATGTCACCCACTGGCTTCCACTGCTCCCATGTTGTCCGTATGGGAGAGCATTCTCCCCCCAGCCTCGGCAGCTACTCATTGACAGTTGGAGCTTTGCAGCTCCGAACAACAAAAGGCTTAAAAACAGTGTGCAGCATATGAGTATTGGGGAGGCAACACTTTAAATATGGGTTATTTTAGGCTTTCTACTTAATGTGATAGTTTAAGATTTGTGAGTTATATTTATGCAGTTTTGTCTGTATTACTGTTAGGCAAGCATTTATTCTTATCATATGCCTTTATCAGTGAAAAGTTAGCATAAGGGTTGGTGGGAAAAAGACTGCCCGGTACTTGAAAAGTGTCATTTAAAGTGTTTGTGTTCTGTAATGTGTTGCTTTTGGTCTGGTTCATAAACTGGAAATTTTACCAAGGTAGTCAAAATCAGTGTAAAAATTCTGGACAGAGCTGATCATTGGCTAACTGGACTGTTTATGAGGCTACTTGATAAAATAAACACTCTACCTTGGTGTGTAAAAGGGTGTTCATTAAAGTGTATGTCAATGCAAAATGTGCATTTCTTCATGGGGTGTTAAGAAGATTTATCTGGCAAAACAAGTTCACATTAAGTTTAACAGTAGGCTTTGACCTGTTAAACTCCTGGAGTCATGTAATGCTGGAATCTAGGCAGATATAAAAGACATGGATAGATGCTGCCCTGTAATCAATAATACATAATTAAATGTATTTTTAAACGCAAGCAGTGCAAGTACCTAAATTTAACCTGACATCGGCTTTTTGCAGTTGCTTTACAGCAGAGCTGTAGTGTGAGAGAAAGAAGCAATACAAGAAACCAATTATTACATATGTTGACCAAAAACGTGATAGAAAAAGAGGGCAGAGTAACGGAGAGATGAACTCATCACTGTGCTGCTTCTCCTTCCACTGACCAGTCAACCTGAGGCGGGTCCAGGACGACCTAAACTCGGAGGAAGTGGATTAAATAATACTGGCCATTAGAGTGAGGACATCTAGTGACTGTGTCTGTTTAAAATGTGCTTTATATTTTAATACTCTTTCATTGTTGTTACTTCCATGTTGTGTGTGCGTATATATCTCAGTATCTGTCCGTTCAATCTGTTTTCCACACAGGGAAGGTTTAGTTTCATAGCTAGAAAAACTTCAGCATGTTTATACTATTCTTATCCTATACATGTGCCAAGAAAGAGTTTTTATTTTGCTATTGAAGAAAATGTTGAGCTGCGACTGATGCAGGAAGAAAAGGTTTTACACCCTCTTGTTTTAATTTGTGACATTTATGGGTCCAATCCATAGGCACTAGCTAGGACTCTCTTTAATGTCAATGTTTGGATGTGATCATTGTAAATTATACCAGATTCTTCCAAAACCTATCCATTTTACAGCAAATTTGTAAAATGCAAAATGAGTCTCACACCTAAGCCCCCATTCACGCCTGAATGTTTCAGTGCATGTTTACCGAACCGCGACATCACTTAACATGAAGATCTCTATTCTAGTCAATGGTGCCCGATCACACCTCCATGTCATGCTGCCGCTTGCCTTGTGAAAAATCACATCTAGAATTTTTTTTCCAGCAGAATTTTGTGTTTATTGGCCCCATAGAGTTCAGAAAGATTATCTGGAAACGCAAGACAACAGTGTTTTTTAGCATGCTTTTTGTATGTTTTTGCACCTATTAACCAGTCTCCTCATGCTAGTGACTTCCCAGGCATATGAACAAAATGGAGCATTAAGGAGTTTCCATGCTGAAAGTGGACAATTTCATCCACCTCATGAAGCCTCCAGTGATGTCCATTACAACAACTGTGGCAAGCGGCAGAGGGCCTGGGAAGAAGTTGGGCTGGAAGTTTTTTCAGATTGGGAGCTCCGATTAGCACCAGACACCACAGCGTCACACAAAAAACCAGGAAGCAGACACAAGGATGATGCAGATATATGATGTCACAGATCAAGGATGCTTGATTCCTATCGCCTGACGCCGAGGACATGCAGTGCCGGGCAGGTGTTTAGTTTTTTTTTTCTCTACATTTAGCCCTGCTGTGGGCAAGCAGAGCTAAATGTAGAGCAGGGAAGCTGCCGTTCATTTTCTATAAGTGATCTAGGTGTCTGTACAGCTGCCCATATCGCTTGTAGCAGGCTGCTTGCTGCCCCACCTCCCCACCTTGGTTTTTAGGGTCCCTTGCACTTCTGGGGGACCCAGGACTACAGAAAATGACTCCAGGGTGGAGAGTGGGGAGCAGACCGGAGAACGTCCATTCCCCGATCTGCTCTGTGATCCACTGAGACAGGAGCACTGTAAAAGCAGTTGCTGTCACAAGCCAGGCTGCACAGGAGATCCAGCACAATGCTGTGCTCAGTCTTCTATATTGGAGGGCAGACTCCTTAAAGAGAACCTGTCACCTCCAAACGCTATTACATAGGGGATTTTTAGCCTCTGTGTGATAGCAATAAAGTTAAGGGGGGGGGGGAAAGTGATACATTTTTTTAATAAAATATGTAAAAAAAAAATTAAAGCCACCCCTGCCGTCTGCATGCAAATAAACGCGCACAATATGCATTAAAGGATAAGTTCACTTTTCAAGTAATTTGGGAAAATGTAATGGCCTGCTCAAATCTGGCCCCCTCTCCAAAAAAAAAAAGATATCCTTGCTACATTTTGATTGAGAGAGTTAACGGTGTTTGTGTGAGGAATATACGGGTTAGTCTAATTCATCAAAGCTGCGGTGTCATGCTGGATTGGGATTCTTATTTATGGCATCATTTCCCTGAGTTGGAGAGGATTAGTACAATTCATCTGCGCTGGATTGGATCCTCACTTTTTCTGCTCTTTGCCACCATGTAACTCTTTGTGTCCTGAACATCTCAATCACAGATCGGATTAGCTCTGTCAACGAATCTAAAGTAACAAAGAAAAACTAAAAGTGCCAACGATATAAGAAGCTCAGGACAAATCCAATAGTAATCGCCTGTGAATAGTTCTTTAGACCTGTGTGTGACTAGCTGTGGAAAGCACAGCATTGTTCCCTGCAGACCCTGCCTGCCTCACTCTTTATTAACCAAGCCGGAAATCTCTTCTGTCAAGCGACACTCAAAAAATATGCATTTTGTTATTTTCAGAAATACCAGGCACACTTGGCAACATGGAACTGGCTTATTTGGCAACAGGTGACCGAATAAACAGCTTTTATATTGACGTTAATTAAAGCCATCTTTGAAAAATATTACATTGGCTGCTTAAATCCATATCTAGGAATTAAATGTGCAAAACTAAAGGGGCCATTTTTCCACATATAACTCCTTTTCAGTTCTAAACCTTTTTCCATTCACTCTTCCAAAAAGTTTGAAAATAGGATTGGAATAAGTTTACACAAATACGCGCCTCTCTGACAAGAAAGGGACAAGATGCCACCCCTAAAGCAATTAACCCACAATCACTATCACACATTTAATCTCCACAATAGCAAACAAAATTGAGAGATTGCTCCTCATACCTCAAGAAACGGGTAAGCCAAATTGTTTAAAACCCCCTCCCCACCCATGAAATGCCATCTGTGCCTTTTACAGGAGGCAGGAGCAACCCTGTTTTTGTATGCAGGACCTCTAGACTGACTGTCCACTTTGCCTGGGGGAACATAACAAAGTGAGCAGAAATCTCTTAAAAAATGTTGGAATTTTTCCCTTTGTGTTTAATGACAACTGGATTTGTCCTCACTTTGTCTGGTTGGTCATCAGGATCTGCACCCTAGGCAAAAGCTTTGGCTTTACATATACTGATCTTTACTGTGTTTGTCTTGGCAGTGCTTTCT